ATTGCTTTTATTTAGGAAGTTTTGTAGTTTTTTCTTTTCTTTTCCAATTTTTTTTCTTTTCCTACTAAATTTGGGGATGAGAGACACTATACTGTATATAAGTATATATAGATAAAACTCCACTGTATTGAAACAAATAACCGCTCACTAAAGTTATTATCAATTATTGTATACACGGTTGTTTATTACAAAAAAACATGCAAAATCTTGTATATATAATGTTTATCCAGTAATACATTACATATTTACGATCATACAGGAATCATGGTTTTAGAAACTGCTGGTGCTTGTTGTGGAACTCCCTGAAACAAGGCACAGCACAGGGCCAACCCTTACATTCTCAAACATAAACTGAGTGTCTTTGCGCTTTGTTAGCCGTCGTTTTGTTTGCGCACAGACGATGCATCTATCTGAGTAAATTTCTTCTGGTTGAAGGAATGCTGTATTATGAAATGATCACCTTACCTCCCTCAATTCACTTGGGTAATCTGAGGAATTCGAGGACCTTGTTGTACAGCAGGTGTTCTAACCTAGTACTTATTATGAGTTGTCTGACAACAGACAAAACAAAATTACATACGGTGTCTGTCTGCAGTTTCATTTGGTACATTAATATATGCATTGGAGCATTGAAATTGTCCATGAGCTGAAGAAAAGTTTATGTTCCATTGTAACTTTTAACATGAAATTTTCTTACATTCATGGAACATTTCAATGTCAAATGCTATATACATACTGTACCAAATGAAGACTGGCAACAGACCACCGTTATGGTGAATTTTGTTTGTCTGTTGTCAGAAAAACAAACACCAATTGAATGTCCACATTTGTCAACCAAGCGCATGCTTATGTGTATAATCAATCACTGTCATGGTTTTCGAATACGTTCATCAATTCACCAATAAAAACTATTGCACGGCTTGCATTTCATTACGGTGTGAAAAATGGTTGTCATACAGGTGACATCTTGTTTGTCATGCACGTAATCCATGAATGTCCTGGCCGAAGTAAACCCTGCACGTCCATTCACCACTCGAGACTGCATTGAGCTGGGCATTTGTTTACAATTTAGAACGCATGTGCCACAACACATACTGTCTTGTCTACTCGCCAGGAAAACTCACTGCGTACCGTAATCCGGTATATAAAGTAATGCCCGCCTTAAAGATAAGGTGATCCTGCTTTCTCTCTATGACTGCGGATACCCAATAACATCTTGGTATTTTCAATGGTTTTTTACTTTCAAGGTATACATACAATATCCAACACAGGGCACTGTCCACAGTCCAGAGTACAAGTTTTTATACCAAATAGCGTTTCCTCTTGCTCGTATATATACTGCTTGAATGACAGGGGGCCTACCTTTGAACAAAATCAAAGACTGTCAATTACAAGATTCTTGAATGGATAAAGCATATGCTGAACTTTTGTTTGAGTACATAAAAACATTTTAATCTTGTATAAACCTGTCACTTCTGTCAGGCCTGGTTTTGTCAGAGAAGTGCAACATAGTAACAGTAAGATAAACCTGTTACTGGGATGATTTCACTGAAGACCGGGGTAGAAATTAGCCGATCTGTGGACCAGTATGCTTTTATATTATGCTATAGACATGAGGCATAAGCATTATTGTTGCAAAAAAGAAAAATACATTTCTGCAACAGTCTTTCCCTTTTTTCACGGGGTTTTTGTATTTTTTGACTGTGGTGATATGATCGTATTTGCCAGGGTTTGTATTCAAAATATTTATTACTTTCCTGACAATAGTTTCCATCAATGGCTGGTAAAAGAATAATTCAAAGAATTCCAGTTCACTGGCCGTGGTTCCAAGGGAACAAGTAGGTAAAATTTCCCACTTTGAGAGTCATAAAAGTGGTGGGGCTTGGGAAAAAAATTGGGATTTTGCTGCCAATCCAGTTTACGGTTTGGGGTTTGGTACTAGACATCTTTAGGCTGGTTGTGTGGGTGGTTGTGGTTGTGGTGGGCTGGTGGCTGACGCTCCGCTTTGTCCTTGAACTGAGGAGTCAGCAGCGTGGGTCCCAGCCTGGGCTCGTGAGTCACACATGGTGGTGCCACTACCACCATCTGCTGATGCCTGTGGTCTATCCATGCCAAGTGTAGCCACATCATCCTCACTATCACTATCTAAACCTGGTGTAGGGCCACGGGATGTACTCCGGGATGTACTCCGTCCCTTGGGCACAGCATAGGGTACATTACCCGAGCGCATGCGGCGGCGTACATACTGACGCTTCACTGGTGAATATGATTCCTCACTATCACTACGCGAAAATAATAGTTTTCTCTTGCGTTGAGGTACAACTGACCGTGACTGATGAGTGCCCACACCAGAGGTAGAAGGTTGAGGATCGTCAGGGTTTTCTGCACTATTATCGATATCCTGGTCATTCCTTTCGGTCACTAACTGATCAAAGCCAAAGAATTCGTCTTCATTTCCACTTCCATCAGTGTCAGAACTATCAGATAGGAAGAGGAGAGTCCCAATTTTCCATGGAGTGAGAGCTGACTTGCGACGAGGCATGGTGAACAAGGGTAACTGAGCCGGCGTTCCCACAATGCTATGCGGGCACCTAGATTTTTTGTTTATGGCGCACACCCACCACGCAGACCCGTTCTCTCACATGTAGGCCTATGAGCGCTTTCGAGCTAAATTTGACGGCGCTAGAATTTTGGCATAGATCTACGGTTTGGATACTCAACATGAAGCCATAGATCTACGGGACGGACCCTGAAAGGGTTAAAAACTACCAGTTAGTTCATAACTGGAGACTTCATAATGTTATAAATTATGAAGATAGTTACATCTTAGAATCATCATTCTAGATCTTTCCCTCCTGCAAGAACTTACTATTAACCCTGTCATGGCTGTTACCCCTGCTTCCAAACTTACTCTCAGGGTCGCAGTATTTAAAAAAAAAAAAAAGTTATTTTTCTTATGAAATGACTGAATTTTTTCCAAAGGTAATGAAACTAAAAGTACAAAATTTGATGGAAAACTTACAGAATCACACTCTCAGAAAGTTAATGGTCTTGGTGATATTTATGCATCAGATAATTTGCCCACTTTACGCTCAATTCCATTGTTCCAGTCAACCAAACTCATATATATTTCACCAGTATTCCTTTTATTCTATCAACTGAGTACAAGAAATGGCCTATTTACCTATTTCAACTACCTAATAAAATGATCAGAAATTGGCAATTTGGCAAATTTCACACAAAATTAAAAAATTGTCGATTTAAAAACAGGGTCCAGAATAAACAATATAGACATTCCGGGCACTAAAAAAAGCATTCCCTCTGTTCCTTGGTCATGTCTCTAGGCCCATCTTATACTTGCTTTCCATTTTGAATTTTAATTCACACAAAAACAGATTTACTGTTATACAGATTATTGTATTATTGTAATAATTGTACAAATAATGTCTGTGCACTCTTAACCCTTTGACTGTTTTTGACGTATAAATACGTCTTACGGGCCAATGTTTCTGACGTATATATACTCAATAATTCTAGCGGCTTCAAATCAAGCGGGAGAAAGCTGGTAGGCCCACATGTGAGAGAATGGATCTGTGTGGTCAGTGTGCACCACATAAAAAAAATCCTGCAGCACACATTGCGTAATGAGAAAAAAAAAAACTGATCGTTTTTTTGGAATAAAACGCCGACTTTGAGGTGTATTTTCGTATAGTATTTATCGTTGTATTCGCGTTTTCATGGTCTTAGGTGATAAAATGGAAAACATATTACAGAAATAGAGATGATTTTCATTACTTTGACGATGAAAACGACCTTGAAACTGAGCTCAAAGTAGCGGAAATGTTCGATTTTTACCAATGTTCAGGAGTAAATAAATCACACCACACGTCCAATACACGTCAACTGGGGAGTCTAATATTCTTTCACTAGTGTACTGATATTATTTATACCATTTTTACAATAATGCAGTAGTCTGCATAACAGTAAATTTTGTATTTTTTTTTTGTATGAATAAAAAATCAAAATAGAAAGCAATAATAATATAAGAAGGGCCTAGAGATGTGACTAATGAACAGAGCATATGTTATTTTAGTGCCACGAATGTCTACCTTGTTTATTCTGGACCCTATTTTCAAATTGGCATCTTTTTTAGTTTGCGTGAAATTGGCCAAATTGCCAATTTCTGACCACCATATTGGGTAGTCCAAATTAGTAAATGGGAGGTTTCTTGTACTCAGCTGATAGATAAAATGGAGTTCTAAAGAAATAGCTATGAGTTTGGTCAACTGGAACAATGGAATTGGCTGAAAATAGGGCTCAAAGTCGGCGAAATCGCCGATATGCATATGTCGCCGAGACCGCTAACTTCGCGGGAGCATAATTCCATGAGTTTTCGACCAAATTTCGAACTTTTGGTGTCATTACCATCGGGAAAAGATTCTCTATCATTTCATAAGAAAAAATTATTTTTTTTTTTCAAAAATTGAGCAACATAGAATGACAGTTTCAGAAAAGGGTCTGAAACAGTCAAAGGGTTAAATGTGTATTAGACTGGCCAGCTGGACATGTACTGGACAAGTGTACTCTGGAATATTGGCAAAAATCAAACATTTCCACTACTTTGAGCTCAATTTCAAGCTACTTTCAGTCCTGAAACCAATCAAGATCATCTCTATATCTGTAATATATCCTCCTTTCTATCAAATGAAACCAAGAAACTGAGAATACAACCATAAAAGCCATACAAAAATACACCCTGAATTTGCTGTTTTAAGCCAAAAACACAGTCAGTTTTTTCTCATTATGCACTGCAGGATTTTTTTTTTATGTGGTGCACGCTTACCAAACAGATCCATTTCTCATATTTAGGCCCAAATTTACCACTTACAGCTTATCTGAGTGAGGTGAGCTCATGGGACCAACAATGGCTTCAAAGTCGTAATATAACAGGACCAACACCAAAGGGATAAAGAACTAGATTATTTTCAAGCAATACTTACCTTATGCTCTGGTTCCCCATGGATGAGTGCTACTCTGTGGTAGCCGATGCTAGATGGTCTTGTCCGCAATCTCTTCCTTGGTACAAATTTTGCTGGCATACTGCCTACTGTCCGTACTGTGTGTGTTGTAGCCATGGTCACCACTGGTCTCTAAAATGTTAAACCCAGACATACTACAGTATACTGCATATACATTCTACAAAAAAAAAAAAATACAACATTCATAGCCCATGAAAAACAATATTTATTCCTGAAAATTCCATTAAATTTAATACATTTAAAAATGAATTTCTCTGACTGCAAACCATTAGCTCACTGACTTAATTTCACACCATTTTTTTTTTTACCTTCTTCACTTATTGCTGCATAATATTCATATGCTGATATTAACCATGCCATCACTACCTGCAGCTTCCTTGCTTCAATATTCAAGGACAATAAAGAAGCCAGAACCTCATTTACTCCTGGTTACAAGTGTGTGACAAGAAAACAAAGATGGAAAAAAAAATGTTTATGTTTGCACTGAGGGCCCATCTTCACGGAAAATCAATCCAAGTTGCCCAGCCATATGTGAGAAAGATAAGTGGTTATATGACTATTTTGAATGCAAGTACCAACAGTGAAGGTAATTTTACCTTTCAAGTGAAGGCAGGGTCAGCAAGTTCAAAATGAGTGACAGGCTCAACACTGCTCAGCTGGCTGGAAAATTGGCATACTATGTGTACCAAGGTACAATAACCATTTCCTCTTAGATTCAACAACTCATAGATATGGGACACAGCACAACAAACAGCAGGCTTTAAAAACTGACAAAAATGCAGTCTCCTGAAAGAAGATGCCTTAACAAACACAATTCCTAAAAGAGGAGAGCTGCTTCTGGAATCAAAGGAGCCAGGAAGAGGCAGATCCTTCTATGCTCATATTTTCTGGAAAGCAAATAATAAAACCTGGTTCACCAGAAGCATGTTCAACGATTCTTTTCACTGTATTTTGTAAGTGAAAACAAGTAGTACAGTACTGAATATTAACCCCTTGACTGTCACAACCCCCAATCCTGAGGTGTCTCCTGGCGTCGCAAAATTTAAAAAAAAAAAAAATTATTTTTTCTTATGAAATGACAGAGAATCTTTTCCCGATTGTAATGACACCAAAAAAAAACGAAATTTGATGGAAAACTGACGGAATTATGCTCTCGCGAAGTTAGCGACCTCGGCGATATTTACAAATCGGCGATTTTGCCCACTTTGAGCCCTATTTTCGGCTAATTCTGTTGTTCCAGTCGACCAAACTCATAGCTATTTATTTAGAACTCCATTTTTTCTATCAATTGAGTACAAGAAACTGCCCATTTACCGATTTCAACTACCCAATAATGTGGTCAGAAATTTGCAATTTGGCCAATTTCATGAAAATTAAAAAATATGACAATTTCAAAATAAGGTCCAGAATGAACAATGCAGACATTCCTGGCTCTAAAATAACATTTTCTTTGTTCATCAGTCATGTCTCCAGGCCCCTCTGATATTACTCTTGCTTCCTATTTTGAATTTTTATTCAAACAAAAAATAGAAGACTTACTATTATGCAGACTACAGCAATACTGTAATAATTGTATAAATAACATCACCCCATTCATGACTGCATATTAGAATGGCTAGCTGGACATTTATTGGACAATGACATCATTTGTTTACTTTTGAACATTGGCAAAATTCAAACATTTCCCCTACTTTGAGCTCCATTTCCAGGTTCTTTTTATAATAAAATCAATCAAGATCACCTTTATTTCTATAATATGTTTTCCATTCTATCAAATGAGACCAAGAAAACGAGAATACAACCATAAATACTATACGAAAATAGACCACAAAGCCGGCATTTTAATTAAAAAAAAATGGTCGGAGTTTTTTTTTTCTCATTATGCACTGCATCCTCCAGGATTTTTTTTATATGGTGCACACTGACCACACAGACCCATTCTCTCACATGTGGGCCTACCAGCTTTCTCCTGCTTGATTTGAAGCCGCTAGAATTTATGAGTATATATAAATAACAAAAAGGCACAATACCGTGACTGGAACGATACACAAATAACCCGCACATAAAAGAGAGAAGCTTACGACGACGTTTCGGTCCGACTTGGACCATTGACAAAGTCACACTAACAGAGGTGGAGCAGGACGGCTATATATATAGGCAGGAAGAGGTGGAGGTAGTAGTAGTAGTAGTAGTACAAGAATTGTATATAATACCGACAAGATGAAATTAAGACACATGCACAACACCCGGGCATCCCCATCGTAGACGTTTCGCCATCCAGCCAGCCACTGGATGGTGAAACGTCCACAACAAAGACAACCAGACGCCGCACATGTGTCTTAATTTCATCAGTACAGTGGACCCCGCATAACGATCACCTCCGAATGCGGCCAATTATGTAAGTGTATTTATGTAAGTGCGTTTGTACGTGTATGTTTGGGGGTCTGAAATGGACTAATCTACTTCACAATATTCCTTATGGGAACAAATTCGGTCAGTACTGGCACCTGAACATACTTCTGGAGTGAAAAAATATCGTTAACCGGGGGTCCACTGTAGTTGTAGTAGTAGTAGAAGAAGAAGAGGTAGTAGTAGTGGTAGTGGAAGAAGTGGGAAATAAGGAAGACGAGCCAGTCAAAAACAAAAACAAAGGAAGGGGAGCACTGCAAGAGAGCTAGATGCCCACAGAGGGAGAGCAAGCGCACAGAGGTGTTTCTGTTCCTTCTTCATTTATTTTATTTCACCACTTCCCCTTACACGCACCTCTGTGCGCTTGCTCTCCCTCTGTGGGCATCTAGCTCTCTTGCAGTGCTCCCCTTCCTTTGTTTTTGTTTTTGACTGGCTCGTCATCCTTATTTCCCACTTCCACCACTACCACTACTACTACCTCTTCTTCTTCTACTACTACTACAACTACTGATGAAATTAAGACACATGTGCGGCGTCTGGTTGTCTTTGTTGTGGACGTTTCGCCATCCAGTGGCTGGCTGGATGGCGAAACGTCTACGATGGGGATGCCCGGGTGTTGTGCATGTGTCTTAATTTCATCTTGTCGGTATTATATACAATTCTTGTACTACTACTACTACTACTACCTCCACCTCTTCCTGCCTATATATAGCCGTCCTGCTCCACCTCTGTTAGTGTGACTTTGTCAATGGTCCAAGTCGGACCGAAACGTCGTCGTAAGCTTCTCTCTTTTATGTGCGGGTTATTTGTGTATGAGTATATATACGTCAAACACGGTACCTCGTAAGACGTATATATACGGCCGCGACAGTCAAAGGGTTAAATCCAAAAATATGGCTTTTAACCCTTTCACTGTTGAGACCCCCGATTGTAAACTCGTTCTCAGGGTCGAAAAATATTAAAAAAAAAAATGATTTTTTTCTTATGAAATAATAAAGAATTTTTTTGTGAGTGTTATAAGCCAAACAAAACATTTTTGTGATCAATACTTACCGGCACTCGGCAACATCGCTGAGTACCAGTCATGAAGTAATAGTTTTTTTTTTTTTTTTTACTTTTTTCTTTTATTTTTTAGCATTTTATGTTTTCAAGTAACTTTTATGGCCTGTGAGACCAATATAAGGCATACTTTGTTTACATTCACTCGTATGCTACACAATAACGGCACAAACACTGTTGTCATTATATTGTTTACGGAACATGTTTACACAAACCAACAATAGAAAATGTTTTTTATTACTATTTTTCTATGTTATATTTACACATACAGATCACTGTACATGTTCCTAGAAGTTCTGCAGCTTGTGCAACTCTTTGAAACATGGTTTCATGCAAGGTGGTATTTTACACTCCTCACACATGAGTGTCCCTGCATTTTTGTGGGCATTTTTTTGGTATGTGCACAGTCAAAACACCTCTTCTGAGCAGCTTTCTTCAAAGCAGTAGCAGGGAGTTGTGTTAGGTAGTGATCACCAGGCATCAGATGAGAAGGTAGTTGTGATCAGTTCGAAGGAGGTGTTCTATTGCAGGTGCTGTTACTTGGTACTTAAATAATATTTGTCTGATGACAGACAAACAAAATTCACCATATGGTGGTTTGTTTCTGGTCCTCATCTTATATGTATTATAAGCACTGAGCATGGAAATGTCCAGAAGATGGAAATGAGTTTTATGTACCACTAGTAACTCTTGCAAACACAATCAGCAATCCCAATTTGCATGTCACATTTGTCCACTGACTACATATTCAGAGTGTAGTCCATCCCAGCTGCAGGTTTAACCCTTTGACTGTCGCGGCCGTATATATACGTTTGTGAGGTACCATGTTTGACGTATATATACTCATAAATTCTAGCGGCTTCAAATCAGGCAGGAGAAAGCTAGTAGGCCCACATGTGAGAGAATGGGTCTGTGTGGTCAGTGTGCACCACATAAAAAAAATCCTGGAGCACGCAGTGCATAATGAGAAAAAAAAAACTCCGACCGTTTTTTTTAATTAAAATGCCGACTTTGTGGTCTATTTTCGTATAGTATTTGTGGTTGTATTCTCGTTTTCATGGTCTCATTTGATAGAATGGAAACTATATTATAGAAATGGAGGTGATTTTGATTAATTTTACTATAAAAAGAACCTGGAAATGGAGCACAAAGTACAGGAAATGTTTGATTTTTGCCGATGTTCAAAAGTAAACAAATGATGTCATTGTCCAATAAATGTCCAAATAGCCATTCTAATACGCAGTCATGAATGGGTTGATGTAATTTTTACAATTATTACAGTATTGCAGTAGTCTGCATAACAGTAAATCTTCTATTTTTTGTTTGAATAAAATTTCAAAATAAAAAGCAAGAGTAATATCACAGGGACCTGGAGACATGACTGATGAACAAAGAAAATCTTATTTTAGAGCCAGGAATGTCTGCATTGTTCATTCTGGACCTTATTTTGAAATTGTCGTATTTTTTAATTTTCGTGAAATTGGCCAAATTGCAAATTTCTGACCATGTTATTGGGTAGTTGAAATCGGTAAATGGGCAGTTTCTTGTGCTCAATCGATAGAAAAAATAGAGTTCTGAAGAAATAGTTATGAGTTTGGTTGACTGGAATAACGGAATTAGCCGAAAATAGGGCTCAAAGTGGG